TTTTTTTTTCCCCCCCCCCCCCCTCTCCCCCCACCTCCCCATTTTTCACAACAACAAAAGAACAATCGGAATAGCTACGGCGCTGTCTGCAACGACCACAGTTATACTAATAGCAATAAACAAATAAATAAATAAGCAAAAAAAAACAACGACAACAAAAAACACCACTAAGTTTGAATTATTTTGTTCTATGAAAAAAAAGAAGGAAAAAAAAAAGTTGAAACGAAAACTAAATTGAAGCAAAAAAAAAAAAGTTGAACAAAATCAGTCTGAAAAATTTTATGTTTTTTTGGTTTTTTGACTTTTCTTCTTCTTCTTCTTCTTTTTCATCTTTATTCCTCTCTTTCTTCGCCTTTTCTGCCCAAATTTGTTCATCAGAATCAAATATTCGCTTCTTAAAAGTTTATGGTTTAGTTATTTTTGTTTTTTTTCCTTTCTTTTTGCTTTGCCCTGTATAAGCCCTATCAAAAAAAAAAAGTGTTTTTGCTTTAATGTTAGATGTTTATCATTAACTATGTTTACACATCTATACAAACATAAGCAAATAAATAATAACAACAAGAAATGTAAGTGAAAAAAATCTTAATAAATAAATTTAGTGTTAGTGAATGTTGTTGTTGTTTTTGCTATTGCTGTTGCTGTTGAAAGCAACAACAAATTGTGATGAATCAACAGTTTTTGGTGTTTGTGAAACATAAGTTTTGCCTAAATAAATGATTGATGAGCCGATAATCATCACAGTATCAACTTGAAGACAAAAACAGTGACAAACATCATAATCATCATCTTCACCATCATTGTCACTCGCAGTAGTATTAGAAAAAAAAGCAAAAAAAAAAAAATGAAGTACCAAGTCTGAGTAAGGCTAAAATTTGAACAGTTAGTGGGATCTCAATCAATCTTCCTCATCGCCGCTTCTCCTTCTAGTCCCCCCCCTTCCCCCCCCCGGCCCCAAAAGACAGAATTGCTTCTTGTCAGAAATGATGTTTCTTCAAAAGGTATTCCCTATCTGCCTTTTTTTTGTGTCTTAAGACC